TCAGATTTCTTGGAGTGGGCTACTGTCCATTCCTACCTCTCCTGCTTTCTATGAGGACTGAATCTCCCAGCCACCCAAGGCTTCCTACTGCTGTGGGACAGACCACTCCGGGACTGCCTCGTGCGCTTGTTTCTGTGGCCCACATGGCACCATGATGTCACTTCTTTTGGTTGAAGCAAGTCACAAACCAGCCCAAAGCCAGACACAGGCCACAGGCAGGAGAGACCTCTGCTCCCCCCCCATCACTGTCCCCCCTGCCACCCACCCCCTGCCACCAACCCCATCACCCTCCCTCCTTTCACCCATCCCCTGACACCCCCTTCCCCGCCTCCTGTCACATTCCTTCTTGTCACCCCCCATCACCCACCCCCTGCCACCTACTCCCGCCACCCTCCCTCGCCTGCCTTCTTGTAGCCCTTGCAGACTGCCACAGCCGTGCTGCGCCTCTTTTCTTCCTCACTTCCTTCGCAGTTATCCTTAGTCAAGAGCACAGACAGCGTGCCATGACAGGGGCCATAGAGAACCTGTGGTTCAGAGTGAGAGCTACGCACAGCTATTGATGATTGGGTCATTAGTATATTTTATTTATTAACCTTCGTTATATGTATTAAAGATAACTTTTCTTAGTCCGCAGCTTTTTTTTTTTTTTGGTCTTTCTGGTCCCTTTTCACAAAGAAAGGTTTTAATGTTCATAAAATGTAACTTTCAATGCTGCATGATGTATATTATACTTGGCTTAAATCCTTCTTTCAGGGTGGAGGGCTGATGAGGGGGGTGGTGACGGGCAAGATGCATTGTGGGCCTGTGTGCACGGCCAGAGTGAATTCCCTCTTAAATAATTAACAGATGCTAAGAAAATAAAAAGAAACCCATTCTTTGCTCTAAAACAACCAACTGCATTTGCAATATTTTCTTCATTTTTTGTTTTATTTTTTACTGAGCACATAATAATTGTGCATACTTGGGGTACCATATGGTGTCTCCATACATAGATAGACTGTATAATAATGAGATTGAGGTAACTAGCAAATCCATCACCACGGACATTGATCACTTCCTCTCTCCTGTTTTGAAATGTACCTCACTGTCAACTGGATTTGCCCGGCTTATTTTCTTCTGTAGCATTACTCTGTGGGCTGTCTGTACTCTGGTTTATGCCTACCCAGAGCTGGTTTTCATGACTGGGTGGGTGTTGAGACCCTGTTACGTTTTTTCCATGTGGGTAATCCCCTGTGGTAGCAACGTTTATCAACTGTTCCATTCCTTCCCCTCATCTGTAGTGTGCATCTGCTGGCATCTGCTCTATTCATGTTTCCTTGTACGGGCGGGGCTGCTGCTGGCTGGCTGTCCTGTCACCCTGCTCTGCCCTGTGTTATGTAATGTAGCCTTATCTATTAGTGAAAGCACTCCAATCTTGTTTTTCTTCTTTCAACTGTCTTCGATGTTATTGGCCATTTGCTCTTTTATTTAAAAGCCAAAACAACTTAGTTCCAAGAACAGCTACTGGTGTGGCCTCTATGAACATAGATTCTCCTATTAAGACATAATATTGTGCCTTAATGGAGGGCTTTTGTATAAATTGTCAATCCTTGGGAAAACGTATATTCATAAACTTTGGTAATAGGGTTTGAAATACATTCATAGATCAAGCTTAGTAATTACAGATGTTACGTCTTCCGTTTCTGCCTAAGTTTACTGTGTTTGATCATTTGTAGACCTTCTTTCCATATGCTTTCATCCATTCTTAATCCTTGGCATCTTTTCTTGCACATAACATTTGGCTGGGGCTTTAACTTTTTTTCTAGAAGAAAAAATAGAAATAAGAAATTTATTAAGTTTATCTAACATTTATTTAGAAGGCCCATTTATTGTGTTTGCTTTATGGTGTTAGGCTTCTATTTCTCCAGGCTCATTTCTTTTCTTCCTTGTCTTGCCCTCTTCTGGATTGCATTTTTTAAACTAACATTTTTATTAGCATACATGTCACAAGCATCTTGTGACATTTCCATACTTGTTTATATACCCCTGTCAGACGCACCCTCTCCATCGCTCCTTCATCCTCTCTCCCCCACTTCTGAAAACAACTTCAGCAGGGTTTTTTCTTTTGCTCTATTTTCATACATTTATATAAAGTACACTGATTATTCATCCTCATTCACCTTTCCCATCCCCTCTCCCGCACGGAAAGCTAGCCGTTGATAGAAGCTGTTTTACTTTCCTTTTGTTTTTTTTTTTTTTTGGTACATATTACTTGCACAAAGGGGTTTTAACTTGGTATTTCATATGTGCACATATTAAATTTTAGTCTGATGAGCCCCCTCTATTGCTCTTTCTTTCCCCATCCCCCCTATTATTTAACAGTTCTGCACTGCACTTAAAATTTTTCTTTCCCCTTGCATAATCTATTCTTACATTCTTTTAGTAGTAGCTCTTAAAATTTGAACCATATTCTTATCCTAATAGAAACTACCACTGGTCTTCTGTTCTCATAAATCATAAAGTTATTATACAGCACTTTAAGTATAATTGCCCTCAACTCTGTTTTGAATGTATCTTAAGAGTGTTTTTTCTTAACCCTCCCAACCGTGCCTTTTTGGGGCTGGGAGATAGATGGTGGTTTTATTTTATTTATTTATTTTTTTGGGAGTCCGGTTGTTGGGCCTGAACTCTGGGCCTGGGCGCTGTCTCTCAGCTCTTCAGCTCAAGGCTAGCGCTCTACCACTTGAGCCACAGCACCACTTCCAGCTTTTTTTCTTTTTGCGTATGTGGTGCTAAGGAATCGAACCCAGGGCCTCATGCATGCAAGGCAAGCGCTCTACCACTGAGCCACCTTCACAGCCCCAGTGGTTTTATTATAATTTCTTTAAAAAATTATCTTTTAGTTGTACAAAGGGGTTTCAATTCAGCATGTCAGTTTTGATGCATCTTCATCCGTGTCACCCCTTCTGTCATTCTCTCCCTCTTTTATCCCAGCCCCACCCATTCTTCAAGGTTTTGTAAGTCATGATCAACGCTTCATCATTTTAGCTTGTATACTAGATTTTTTTTTAAAAGATTACATAACTATTTTTTCCTCTAAATTACATCTTTAGAGAATTTTCTTTTAGTAAGGTTCTATTTGTGGTAAATGTTCTCATTCTTTGTTTCTCAGAAGTCCTTATTATAGTCTCTTTCTTTTTTTTTTTGTTTTTTTGGGGTCCGGTCGTGGGGCCTGAACTCTGGGCCTGGG